AGGTGGTTGTGATTTGGTGCAGGGTCAGAAGTGACACACACTTGAACTACATGATTCACATGCAAATGACAAGCACTTAGTCCGAAGAGAAAGATCATTGCTATGGCATCCAGGCACTGCTGGGATTTGAACCCAGGATCTCCTGTTTACTAGACAGGGGCTTTAACCAACTAAGCCACAGCGCCTTACATTTCTTTTCCACCTACTTCTTTCCATTGTTTCCTTTCATTTCCACACTAATGACACAATGGGCCTAATGCAATAAATGAAGGAAAATGTCCTCTTATTTTTGTTGGTATCCATGATTTGCTTCTTATTTTGTTAGGGCCCACTGATTTCTGGGATTCAGTTTGGCGTATTTCTGCTTGTCTCTTAGAAAATTTGTGAGACTGAGAACACACCGACCAAAATCCAACACAAACACACATACATTTTTAATTTAAGGAACATAGAAATGAGTAGATATCATATAGTCAAGTTCAGGTTAATTTATGTTTTAGGGTCATTTTTATGAGTAGATTATCAAATTCATGGGCTGAGGAAATACTAGTGGTCCTCTGATCCCAGTTAAGGCTGGGCAATGTGTTTTGTTTTGTTTTGTTTTCCAAACACAAAAATGTTTTTTCTACACACAAAACAGTTAAGATTAGAAAATAATTCATTTGAATTAAGACTGTACGCATCAACTTGATCAAATAAATGTCACAAAACACATTAAAACATTTTCATACAGCAGGTGCATATTGACACAAGCCTACAACAAACTACCTCCTTTGTTTTATCATAGTATTTGAATAGAAGGAAAGTCAAGGAAACTATTTTACACAACAGAACTGAGGCACCAAGGTCATTTTATAGATGTTGGGAATCTAGAAATTAACTGTACTCAACTTAAAATACAGTATTTCAGAGATTTGTTATGAAGTTGCACCTTTGGTCCATCAGAACAGTTCAAGTGACCCCTTGAAGAAGGGTGAGATCAGCCACAAAGCCTGTCCCAATGTCCCCCTCACAGACTCGAACACAGAACAGACAAAAAAAATTTTATACTTCATGTTTTCACGTGTTTGAAGTGCTCAATTTATTCAACTTGCAACACATATATTCGTCAAATATTAAAACCTGTTAGACAAATGTAAAGCAGCTGAACCTCCAACAACCAGGAGAGTCTTAACATGACTTCAGCTTCTTTCCATCCTTCATAATGTGACATTAATAATGTTTCACTTACAGCTCACTGACACCAAAACCAGTTCAAACACTCTGAATAATGTTAAACAGTGACGCAGTGACACCAACGCTAACTAATACTGACACTGCCTCGTTCCACATGCTGTAACAAACTGTGACAAACGTTCTGCATGCACACATTCACCCTCTGGAAAACACGCAAACTGTATAAAATATTCAAAGTAAAAACTGTACACCAGCACACAGACTCATCACGACTGGCCGAGTGTGTGTGTGCCAGTTAGACAGACGGATCAAGGCACAATACGCTGCAGGGAGTCTCAGCAGTTAACGTCCCCCACAGAAACTTGTGTCAAAGTCATTTTTAAGTTCATCTGAAAAACACAAACCCAAAAGTCTTCTGCTCTAAATCATGTATTCAGTGTATCTGAGCTCCGTCCACACTGCGGAAACATCAGACCTGACACTTCAAAATCACTCTGTAAGATAGGAGTGAACGTATGCTTTGATTGATATCGTTAACAGAGCGTCATTGAATGCACCTGGAGCAAACATAGGAAGGGATCTGAAATGGATCAGGTTTTATTTTGCAGTTTGTTGAGCTGCTCCTCTAATAGCGATCAAATGCTAAAAAAAATATGTTGTGTTCACACCAGACGCAAAAACAACTTGTGCAAGTGACACGTACCGTAAAGTCAACGCAAAGACACGATTAGATGGGAATTCCCGCTGGCTGGCGTGCTGGACACGTCGCGAATTAAGTGGCACGTGTGAAGCAAGTGGCGCGATTTTGCGTCATACACTTATTTGCGAGATTTGAAAAACCTGAACTTAAGCGACCAATTTGCACCGCGATAGCCAATCAGCATTGAGATCCTCTGGCGACATATGACGCCGAGGTCATACCTGCGGAAGTGCATTCACCGATTCAGCAATTTCACATGCATAGGATCCAAGTTATTCGCGCTGTGAAACGAGTCAACACAAAATATTTTAGCGTTCAAACTCACGTGAGTAACGCAACATGAATATTCACATTGCGTTTGGTGTGAGCAAAGCTTTCGACAGTTTTAAGGCATCTTTCAGTTGCTAGGAAACAACATTGTTGTTCTGCCTTTTTACACATAGATGGCGCCACAGGGCCGCTACGAAGTCCCTTGCATTTTCACACAGACCCAAAAACGGCGGCATCATTCCACTCCAGTGTGTGATTTTAGGGGCCGTACACATGCCACGTTTTTTTGCGCCCGTTTTCAAGGTAGCTGTGCGGCGGGCACTCTCAAACACCAGGGCAATGAGCTCCTCTCAAAGCGTCATTGTCTGAGAAAAGGCTGTAAAAAGCCTCTGCACACAACCTGCTCAGCAGCATAGAGGAGCATTTAGCAGCTAAAGAGACAGATATTTCCCACAGGAGTCGGTGGAGACCAAAAACAGAGCTAAAAGATAGTGAATATTGTACTTCAGGTGGACACAAACATCCATATGGAGCCTCGGATGCCCTAGATATTATATTGTTTTAGATCTTGTGTGCACAAGATAAAAGAAAATAAAAAAATATCTTCATCGTATCTTCAATAGTCATTAAAGGAAACAGTGTAAAGGTCGGCAGTGTGAACGGAGCAGTAAAGTAGCCTCTGGTGAAAAAACGCCACCATCATAAACATTCAAGCTCTAAAAGTTCAGGACAACAAACATTAACAGAATAATTACAAACAAAAAAGAACCCATTAACACTCAAAATACACCTCGTGATGCAAAACATCCACAAAACAAATTGAATAACTAATAATCTGTCAAGCACTGAACGCAGCAGTGATGATATATATTAGCTTTTAAATAAATATCACACAGTCAGAACAGTCAATAAATATGAAATTCAAGGTTAATTGTTGCACAGTAACGCCTACTGTATGTGAAGTCACAGAGGGATTAGTAGTTACACTCCACATTATATCATCAGACACCATCAACACTCTGCAGCAGCCTCACCTGCAGGTTCACCTGGAAAAACAAATATGCTCAAGTACTGTGTGAGAGCAGGAAGTAGGTCCAGAAAGCATTTGTCTGAATATGTCTGAAGGTCATTTGGGGTCTCTATGTAGTCATTTTGTGTCTCTTTGCGGCCATTTTGTGTCTCTTAATGGTTGTTTTGTGTCTGTGTAGTCATTTTGTGTCTCTATGTGGTCATTTTGTGTCTATGTGGTCGTTTTGTGTCTCTATGTGGTCGTTTTGTGTCTCTATGTGGTCATTTTGTGTCTATGTGGTCATTTTGTGTCTCTATGTGGTCGTTTTGTGTCTATGTGGTCGTTTTGTGTCTCTATGTGGTCGTTTTGTCTCTATGTGGTCGTTTTGTGTCTCTATGTGGTCGTTTTGTGTCTATGTAGTCATTTTGTGTCTCTTTGCAGTCATTTTGTGTCTCTTTGTGGTCATTTTGTGTCTATGTAGTCATTTTGTGTCTCTTTGCAGTCATTTTGTGTCTCTTTGTGGTCGTTTTGTGACTATGTAGTCATTTTGTATCTCCTTGTGGTCGTTTTGTGTCTCTTAATGATCGTTTTGTCTCTGCGGTCTTTTTGTGTCTCTATGTGGTCATTTTGTGTCTATGTAGTCATTTTGTGTCTCTTTGCAGTCATTTTGTGTCTCTTTGTGGTCATTTTGTGACTATGTAGTCATTTTGTGTCTCCTTGTGGTCGTTTTGTGTCTCTTGATGGTCGTTTTGTCTCTATGCGGTCATTTTGTGTCTCTATGCGGTCGTTTTGTTTCTCTATGTAGTCATTTTGTGTCTCTTTGCAGCCATTTTGTGTCTCTGAGGTCATTTTTTGTCTCTTAGTGGTCGTTTTGTGTCTCTTCATGGTTGTTTTATGTCTATGTAGTTGTTTTGTGTCTCTATGTGGTCATGTTTTGTCTCTATGATGTCGTTTCTTGTCTATGTAATCATTTTGTGTCTATGTGGTCGTTTTGTCTCTATGTGGTCGTTTTGTGACTATGTAGTCATTTTATGTCTCTTTGCAGTCATTTTGTGTCTCCTTGTGATCGTTTTGTGTCTCTTAAGGGTCGTTTTGTCTCTATGTGGTCGTTTTGTTTCTCTATGTAGTTGTTTTGTGTCTCAATGTGGTCGTTTTGTGTCTCTATGTAGTCGTTTTGTGTCTCCATGTTGTCATTTTTTGTCTCTATGTAGTCATTTTGTGTCTCTTTGCAGCCATTTTGTGTCTCTGAGGTAATTTTTTGTCTCAGTGGTCGTTTTGTGTCTCTTTGTGGTTGTTTTGTCTCTATGTGGTCGTCTTGTTTCTCTATGTAGTTGTTTTGTGTCTCTATGTGGTTGTTTTGTGTCTCTATGTAGTTGTTTTGTGTCTCCATGTTGTCATTTTTTGTCTCTGTGTAGTCATTTTGTGTCTCTTTGCAGCCATTTTGTGTCTCTTTGTGGTTGTTTTGTGTCTCTATGTAGTTGTTTTGTCTCTATGTGGTCATTTTGTGTCTTTTTGTGGTCGTTTTGTGTCTCTGTGTGGTCGTTTTATGTCTCTATGTGGTCGTTTTGTGTCTCTATGTAGTCACTTTGTGTCTCTTAGTGGTTATTTTGTGTCTCTATGCGGTTGTTTTGTGTCTCTGTGTGGTCGTTTTGTGTCTCTATGTAGTCATTTTATGTCTCTTTATGGTCGTTTTGTGTCTCTATGTAGTTGTTTTGTGTCTCTGTGTGTTCGTTTTGTGTCTCTATGTGTTTCCATGTAGTCATTTCTGTCTCTTTATAATTGTTGTATATCTGTTTTTGGTTGTTTTGTGTCTCTGTATGGCTGCATTTCTTTTAAATTGTTTTATTGTATCTTAGTGGTCGTTTTACATTTCTTTGTAGTCATTTACATCTCTATGTGGTCATTTTGCATCTCTATGTAGATGTAGTCGTTGTATGTCTCTTTGTATTTCTTTTGCATCTCTTTGTTTTTTTTGTGTCTTCATATTTGTTTCAAGTAATTTTTTTGTTTACTCATTCAACCACACAGGTGAACCTGCTTGCATGAGGCCAGTGGAAAGTGTCACCTGGTCGTGTTACATTCACTGTCTCACTTCTAACAACATGTCAGACACAGTTCAGATAAGGCTTCTTCATGGGCTGCTCTGTTGTTCAGTTCACTGTCACACAGCTGCAGTGTGACATCTGCCTGAGTCTGAGCCCAGACCGGGTCCAAGACTAGTTTCAAGACTGCACTGGCACTGAGAGACAGCCATGCTCTTGTCAAAACCAGGAAAAAAACTTTTTTTTAATATAAAAATGCTGCTGCTGCTGCTGCTGCTGCTGCTGCTCTGAATAAACAATGAATTAAAGTTTGAGGACATTTTGTTTCTCTACAGTCTGTGGTTTCTATTTTACATTGTAGTGCTGAACCAAACATTAATAAAATATAATTGTTAGTTTAGTTAAGTGAAAAAAGCATTCAAAAAACCTAAACAAGTTGAGATCAAAATAGGCAAATACCAAGACAAGTCCAAGATATGATGAGAACAATATTCTGGAGACAAAATACGGCTGTGCAGCAGTTCAAACTAATGGAGTCTCGAGTATGCCTCTGGATTATTTTATATAAAAAAAGAAAGAAATTAATTTAAAATATTTAGTTTGAAACAAAAAAGAACTCAAAGTTAAAAAAAAATAAAATTAAATTATGATTAAAAAAAATTAAACATGGCTAGTTATAATTCAATTTCCTTATTTTTACCATAAAAATGAAATAGTAATTTAATTTAAAAATTGAATTGACTTTTTTACATTACGCATTTTAACATTACTTTATTTCATAAAGTGAATGATTAAAATTTACATTCATTAATTTGGCTCTTTTGTCAAAGTGATGTACAAATGAGGTGCAATACAAGCTACAAATAATTTAAATTAAATTAAGATTGTTAAATTGTTATTATCAAATTAAATTTAAATTATTAACATTGAATGTAATGAGCTCTTTATTTTAATTATGTGTTGCATTATAACTTTAGTAACAGTTATTTATATTATACTATTATTTTATTAACTGATAAGAATATAAATAGCTATTTCATTTGGCACACTTGAGACTCCATAAAAAACTCCAACGTCTCTGAGCTGAACAGCACAGCGGTCACATCGAACACTCAAGTAGTTTCTGGTAGAAAACACAAGAAAAATAAAAGTACATAATAAAGTGGGTTGGACTGACAACAGAAAACATCAAGACTTAGTTTCTGTTTCTGTAGTGAAGCAAGATCATCAGGCAGCATTGTTTTCATTATTAATATTAATGCACAAAAAGAAAAAAACAAAGTGTATTTTGCATAAAGAGCATTTACACACATCTTGTAAAAGTCGTTGCCATGTGCTCGCTCGTTGTGTCTGGCAGCGTTGCCCTCGGTTGGTCTACACGTTGATGGCGTGAGCGTGCTTCTTGCACAGAGGTTTGTCTTTCTTTGAGTAGAAAGGCTGGCCCTCAAGGTTCACATGGCAAACCTGTAGGTACGATAAAGTTGTGCAAATAAATTTCACAGAGCATTTCATTTTGAACCAAAAGTTTTCAGAGGGACTGTCTTTAGTAGAAAGTAGTTCTGAATAAAAAAAGTCTACAATGACGTCTTATCCAGTGTTTGTTCGTGTTCTTACCGCACAGACGAAGCAGGTGTCGTGCCAGGTGTGACCCAGAGCCTCAATGAACTTATCACCAGCTTCAACCGGGAAGTCGCAGCCATGACACTTAGTGCTGAAGAGTGCGATGTAATCTGACAGAGAGACAGAAACAGTTAGACACACCTGAACAGGTTACAGCCCGACCTCTGACCTTTGATCCCGGATCCCCGTACCTTTCTCGCAGTATGGCTCTCCATCCTCCATGTGGAAGAGGCTGTTTCCAAAGGCTTTGCCGCAGGCCGCACACACGAAGCAGGTGGTGTGCCACGTCTGCCGCAGGGCATGCATCACTTCCTGTAACACACAACATGACACATGTTGTTTGTGGTCCATGTGGATCATTTAATCTTTACTCAGCTGCACAGGTAGACAGGTAGAAACATAGACAGGCGTACAGGTGGAAATGTATACAGGCACATGTAGACAGGTAGAAAGGTAGACAGTTGAAAAGGTATACAGGTAAACAGATATACAGGTACAGGTAAAATGGTAGACAGGTATAAAGGTACAGGTAGACAGGTATACAGGTAGAAAGGTAGACAGGTATAGGGTACAGGTAGACAGATATACAGGTAGAAAGGCAGACAGGTAGAAAGGTATACCTGTCCACCTGTATACCTTTTCAGGCATAAAGGTAGATAGGTGTAAAGGTAGACAGACAGGTGGAAACTTACACAGGTACAAGTAGACAGGTATACTGGTAGAGAGGTAGGCAGGTGGGCATGTAAATAGGTATACAGGTAGACAGGTATACAGATGGATAGATAGATAGGTAGGTATACAGGTGGACAGTTAAACCAATGAAAAAGGTATACAGGTGGAAAGGTATGCAGGTATACAGGTAAACAGGTGGACAGGAATGCAGGTAGAGAGGTGGACAGGTAGATACATATGGGTACAGGCAGACAGGTATACAGGTAGAAAGGAATACAGGTGGAGAGGTAGGTAGGTGGACAGGTGAACAGGTGACCAGGTAGACAGGTATACAGTGGGACAGGTGGACAAGTATACAGGTAAACAGATAAATAGGTATAAAGGTGAATAGGTGTACAGGTAGAGAGTTGAACTGGTAGACAGTTGGACAGGTATACCAGTGAAAAAGGTATACAGGTGGATGGGTGCACAGGTAGAAAAGTAGACAGGCATCCAGGTGGAATTGTATACAGGCACAGGTACACAGGCACAGAGGAAACAGGTGGACAGGTAGACACATATACAGTTGGAAAGGTGGACCGGTATGGAGGTGGACTGGTGGACAGATAGATAGGTGTACAGGTGAACAAGTAGACAGGTGGACAGGTGTACAGACAAGTGGACAAGTGTAGCGTCTCACCCCCATGATCTTGGTGTTGCAGCGGGCACAGGTGGGAGCGAAGAACTCCTCGTAGCAGTTCTCACAGTAGACGTTGTTCTGCTCCTCCACGAAGCTCACGTCAGCCAGAGACATGTGGCAGTAGTGACAGTTAAATTCCTCAGGGTGCCAGGACCGGCCAAGGGCCACCAGGAAAGGGCCCCTGCATGCCAGAAGCCATTTTGATGAAGAACATAGTGATTAAATAAAGTATATCACAGAAACTATTCTTGTTAATATTATTATTATGGTATGCAGGTGTAGGTTACCTGATGACGCTGTTGCAGGCCCCACACAGAGGTGTACGGCTGCTAGCGGCGAACCTCTCCGCCCTTTGAGCCACGCCCCTCGCCACAGGTGAGAACGGGGCAGGGCTTGGTGTGACAGGGGCGGGGCTGGGAGCTGCAGGGGCGGTGGAGGAGGGGTTGGGGATGTATGCTGGTGGAGGAGGGGCAGCCTGGGGTAGCGGCTGCATCTTTATGGTAGTGGTGGTTGTCTTACTGGGGTCATACTTGTTGGCGAAGTTGGTGTCGGCCACCCAGGGGGGTCGATTAGAGGAGGCAGGACCAGCTGGAGCTGGGGTCAGGGCAGCAGCTGGAGGGCGGGGCTGAGGTGGAGCAGGAGCAGGAGCTGAGGCTGGAAGAGAGGAACACTGTAAAGCTTCCAACAGGTGAGATCAGTTCTCTGACAACAGTGAATCTGTGTTTGCAGGTGTTCTCACCTGACTGGGAGGGGTAGATGCGGGCGGTGCTGACCACCTTGGAAGGGGCGGAGCCAAGAGGGATCTGAATGGAGCTCTGAATGGGCGGGGCCTGTTGTGCGGGATGATGATGGTACTGCTGTGGGACTTGCTGGTGGTATGGCTGATGGACTGGCTGCTGATAATGCTGAGGAGGCGGGGCTTGTGGAGTGTGATGCATAGTAGGAGGTTGACCGTATTGGCTACAGAGGGGGGAAATTGTTGATTTATCATTATGATTTTGTGATTTTTCGTTGTTGTTTTTTTCAAGCCTCCTTACACAGACCAAGTTGCATTATTGGTTTCAGTATTTACTACCAGTCTAAATGTGGCCAAATACTTACCTGGCGAACACTGACATGTTGATTTGCTAACTTGTTCTCATCCGAGGTCATCAAATACTGATGCTTTATTGTTTGGCGTTTGATACTGACACCGAAGGCACCCTTTGGCGTCTCTATGAAATGCACCCTTTAACATCTGGATGTGATGCACAGCTGTGTCCTGGGTGAAACTCATTGTAGCGCGTAGTTTAAGTTGTCAAACTGTCACGGTTCGGTTTAGGCAACAAATCTACTTAGCTTAGAGAAACCATTATGTTTTTTGGTTAAAATAAGTTCGTAGTTAACTTGTTCCAATCCCCTGTCCATTCCAGTGGACGTAACTTTTCTAAGATGTCTAGATCTATGATTACTGTCATCTGACTCTATCTAAACACATAAACTTATTTGATGGGATGTCTACGAGCCAATCACAGTGTCCCACATCATCTAAAGTGGACTGCAGTAGGGCCACACCCCATTTTTTTTAACAAGTATTCTCATCACAAATATTTGTTTATTGTCAATGATTTATAAGTGCATGCAGAGTATCACAGATAGAGTATCACACACCAAGAGACATGACAAAGCATCAGTATTAAACAACCTGGGAATGAGAACAGGGCTGGATTTGCAGGATACAAGTCATCAAGGTTACATATAACCGTGGTTTCTGTAAAATTAAAATGCTGCTATATTCAACTTAGACGTCCACAAACTTTTATTTTTCAACTGCAAATCACCAAATCAGTGTTTACTGGGTCCTCTATATCTAACTTTTGTTTACAACATACACAAAATATAATCACAGGTTATAATCACAAGTTAGTGTGAATCTAAATAAAGAAGTCAAAGAAAACCACCCTGTAAGAGATGAGTGTCAGTATCTTGTCATTTAAAGTAAAGACATAAATGTGACAGCTGGACTTTGATCCTTCAGAGATCGTTAGAAGAGATTCAGCATGTTATTCAGCTGATCAAAAGATGAAGTTGTTACTCAGCAGTTAGATGGTCCCGAACTGAACGATGCATCAACACTGTCAGGGTTAGGGGTTCAGTTCCCATCAGGGTCACCCATTTAAAGTAAAGGCCTCAATATGCTTCAAACTAAGTGCTTGTTGTGTCGTCTAACAGCGTCTGAAACTCCCTTTGTGATGGAGGGAATTTACTTAAAATATTGTTTATGCTGTAAAATGTTCCCTGATAGTTTTGAATTAATATGACTGCTGTATTAAAGGTCCAGTGTGTAGGATTTAAGGGGATATATCAGCAGAAATGGAATATAATATAATAAGTATGTTTTCTTTAGTATATAATCACCTGAAAATAAGAATTGTTGTGTTTTCATTATCTCAGAATGACTGTTTATATCTACATATGGAGCGGGTCCTCGTCTGGGTCCACGCATATTGCCATGTCGCGTCATCATGTTTCTACAGTAGCCTAGAATGGACAAACAGAACACTGGCTCTAGATTCGGCCATTTGCATTTTCATATTTTTGCGTTGGCCACTGCAATTAGCAGTCCCTCCATGAGAGGAGTGTTGGAGAAACACTGTTTTTGTAACGTGAAATTGCTTTGTTCAGTGTTCTTACTGGTTTAAATCACCAGGTCCATTTAATTTGGAGAGGAAGCGACCTCAGTAAATAATTGGTCTCCTTTTAAAACCTCCTGAACAATGAACACTAAAGCCCCGTTTCCACTGAGCAGTTCAGTTCGGTACTCATTTCTTTCCGTTTCCACTGTAAAAAGTTGTGGATGGTACCAATGGAACCGTTCTGTACCGTCAGTGGTCAATAGAGGACGGTCACTCTGCTCAGGGCTGAGTTGTGGCTGGTTTTGAGGCTCATGTAACCACTGTTCATACTGTGGAGAGTTTTATTAGTAAACTGTAACTATAAAATGAAATGATGTTTTGCTGCCTCTCACAGCAGCTGGAGTCTGAGAAAAATAATTCACTGGGCAGAATGCCGTCAACTTTTAAGGTGGAACGTTAACTTGTAATGTTACTCAGTGCATGAGCTGACGACGTGAATCCATCAACACACCTTAAATGTCACTGTGACAACTCTGACCATCACTTTAGTTTCAATATAACATACACTTTTAGTAATGAGTGGAACTTCAAGCGTTTATATGTATTAATTTTGACCAGGTTATGTGAACTGCATATATTCTAATCCTCACTCGGAGAAAAAAAAAAATGGTAGCTTAGCATCAAGCTCCAGCAACACTAAACCCCTGAGCTTGGCTGAGAAGGACTAAATGCACAAACCTGCTATTTCTAAATATCCCACGGAGAGAGACTCTCACTGCAGCCTGTTTTATTTTGTTCTGAAAATGTTGGCATGCAGCCTCGTTCTGTGGACGATAAACGAGGTGCAGATTCCCTCTGTGTCACCGATAATGAGGAAATACAGTGAGTGACAACAACCCCACATTTAAGGGTAATGCTTACAGTGGAGAACCTAGAGTCTAGGTACCATGTCTGAAGGGTTACTGTTGGTTCAAAAGGTACCATACTGAAAGTGTTTAGTGGAAATAGGGCTTAAAGGAATTCTAACCTGGAAAAGTTTCAGCTGACTGCAATCTGCAATCTAACTGCAAGTGTATGTTGCATTTTACCGCTGAAGATGTTTAAGATTGAGTTAATTCTAAATCCCTTATAAGCTGGTGTGTAGTTAACGACTACGACGCTTCTATAAAAAGTAAACTTTTCATGGTGTCAGAACAACAGCCCTGTTTTTCTGTTTTAGCGTAAGAAGTAGGAGAATGGGCTATGACAGCAAGCTTTTCACCCCACCCTCTGGTGTGGACATCAGACCGCTTTATACGAGATCAAATGAGATCACTGGTTAACTTGAAGCATACTGAGGCCTTGAATCCATTCATGGTTCTGTGAGAAGCTTTAGATAGAGAAGGTTTAGAGGTTTATATAAAGAAGCCTCCATTTGATGGCAGATGTGTTGTTATATAGCACAGAAGAAGAGGCAGCATAAAGTGAATGAAAACGCTGGGCTGGAGTGCTGGATCCCTGCAGGTACCTGGAGACTGCAGCTTTGTGCTGGAAGCCGTAACCAGCAGCAGACTGTCGCTTCTGGCTGCAGGTGTAGAAACAACAGCAGAGGTCACCATGACAATCTGCATCCTGAAGGTCACCAGGGTCACACCCACTGCTGGTGATGCTTCAGTGGGATGTTTTCTAACCACAGCTGCCCTTCTGTGTTTTGTTTGTGTTTCTCTGACTCTGAGTCACTTGATTTCGGATTTATCTGCTGCCCCGAAACAGCCAAAAACACCCTAAAATCATCAGCACCTTCAAAGAGCCAACAACCAACCACATAAAACCACTTCCAGCTGACATCCTGTGAGTCCCAGATGTCCCACCAGCACCTGAACACATCACCCTGCCTGACCACAAACTCAAAATCCTGCAGGAGGAGAAATCTGTGACCTGGATCAAAACCAGACAGGTGAATGAGATGTGACTGGTTACCTGTGAGGGTCGGGGCCAGGTGAAGCGGGGGCGGGGTCCAGAGGCTGCAGAGCGGTGAGGGTTGAGTCGGCAGAACCTGGAACATGCTCAGTAGGGCTAAAGCACAGGAAGTGTTAGGAGCAACAGTGAGAGGAAGCTGAAATCATAATATAATACACAGTATATAGGTTTATATATCTACACATGCAGTCCTCACCACCCTGCATGCCTATATATATGTATGCTGCATATATACTGTTCAGATCAGATTAGTTAGAGCACCGAAAAGAAAAAGATTATCAAGCTCATGCACAAATCAGAATGCTCGATATTGCTCAGGTTATGAATTTGATGTTTTATATTTCTTCATCTGACTCAAAATAAAAACAGAAAACGTGTTTTTTATGTTTTTAATTCCCTATATGACCCGTCTACAGGTGTTCAGATACATATGTCTTTGTGTTTTATCTCTCTGTGAGTCGTTGTTTCCTTCAGGATGACTTAGAGACAAAGAGGAAAAACCTCAGTCTCTTTATTGGCGGATAAAAGCTTGACCTATGCTCCTATTGATTCTTGTTGAGTCATTGCACAGCGCATTCAGACTGACGGAGAGGGTGGGGGTGGAGCTGGGGGCGGGAGGGGCTATCTGGTTGTATTTCAGCCCCAACAGGCGGGTAAGGGGTGGGGGGAGGCAGCAGGGATCGATTGTGCATAATGGAGGGATGATTAAATAAGTGTGCAGAGCAGAGAGAGCTCCATCCATCAGTGTTCAGGATGGAGGATGGAGGAGGAGGAGGAGGGGTGGAGGGTTAAAAGGTTTGTCCGCCCTTGCAGAGACTGAGCAGACCTCCACACTCTGATACACAGCGTCTGACACTCAGTTAGCTCAGCTCGTGTTTCACAAACACTCTGATAACAACAGCAGCTAAAAAACAAACTGAGGGAGCAACAGGAGGCAAGAAATAAGACTTGTCAATAATCAGCTAGCCAAAAAAATCTAGTTAGTTACTAAAAAAAAAGACAGACTTTATCTTCTGCAGTACAAGATAGTTTTATATAAACTCTGGGTTAGTATTTGTAGAGATCTGCTGAGTTTTTAGAAACCTTAAAGGAACTGTGTGTAAGTTTTAGGGGGATTTAGAGACATCTAGTGGTGAAGATGCAGATTACAACCAGCTGAAACGTCTCCCAGTTAGAGTTCCTTCAGTGTTCATTGTTCAGGAGGTTTTTAATGGGAGCTGAATTATCTGTAAAGGTCTCTTCCTCTCCACAACAAACAGACTAGGTGATTTAAACTGGTAAAAACACTGAATAAAGCAGTTTCACCTTACAAATCAGTGTTTCTTAAATGCTGTTTGGTATGTTGGAGACGGCTGTTAGCCCAGCACCTGCTAATGTGTGCTCACCTTTTTTCTCTGATAACTTAAGATCTAGATGTTCAGGAGGTTTGTATTGGGAGTTGAATTATCTGTAGAGGTCTCTTCCTCTCCACGACAAGCTGACCAGGTGATTTAAACTGGTAAAAATGCTGAATAAAGCAGTTTCATGTTAAAAAATAAAATCAGTGTTTTTCCAACGGAGCTTGTCACAGAAGAGTTTCTTAACTATTTTGGCTGATGCAAAAAGCAAAATGTGATGATGCAAATGGCCCTATCTAGAGCCAGTGTTTTGTTTGTCCCTTCTGGGCTACAGTAGAAACATAGACTTCCATATATGAGGACCCATTTCCTTTGTAGTGCCAGTATATCCCTTTAAATCCTACACACTGGACCTTTAAATCTTTCCAGAGCCTCCTTCATAAAGTTTGTTTTGTCCAAACCTCAAAATTATTACAAAAACGTTACAGTTATTCACATTATTAAAACAAACAGCAGCAAACCTCCGCATTAGTGAAGCTGAAACCATGAAATGTTTTTACATGAAAAATGATTTCCACCATCCAAACAGTTTCAAATGAATTTTCCTGTCAGTCGACTGACTGATTAATGGACTAATCATTTCAGCTGTACTTGTATAAACTGTTGGGTACTTTAATCTATAACAAAATATCATACTTTATTAACTCCTCATATGTTTTGTGTGTAAAAATCCTAATTTGTAAAGTAACTAAAGCTGTCAGATAAATGTAGTGGAGTAAAAATATAGAGTGGTATGAAAAGAAAACACTGAAGTTCTTCAGTAAATGTACTTCACAGAAAATATGTGTTGATATGGACTTTAACTTCGAGTCTCATCACTGAATAGGAAGAGGTTTGTTTGGTTACCAGCCTCCTTGATATTAGTTTCTTGTCATGTTTGTGATCCAGGAATTAATCTATTATTCAATTAAGCTCCTCATACTGGAGGCTGTTTCCCCCGTTACTGTTCCCCTGGCAACAGTCACAAACAGGCCAAAATGCTCTGATGCTCTTTAATCAATCAATACCAAGTTTGATCAATACAAAAAGACTCCATTCATGTGGTCTCGTGTCAGACATCAAACCCTTTGTGACCTCTTTTTACAGTTTAGGGCAGTGGCGTTGTTAGGCAGACAGTTTCATGAATAGCCCCAGATCTGGACATAAAGGCTCTGCTTCAAATATAAGAACAGGCCTCATAATATATAAAAAGGCCCAAGATGACTCAGAGCTTTTACTGAAGTGATAATAGCAATTGTAAAGTGTAAAAATACTCTGTCAAACGTTAAAGTCCTGCACTCAAAATATTACTCCAGTTAAAGTATTAGTATCAAAATAAAGGCTTCTTCAAGTACCAAATGTGAAAGTACTCATCAAACAGCCCATTTCAGATTCATACTGGATTATAATTACTGATGCAATAATGTGTCTATTACTCTAAATATATCACACAATAATTTTACAGTGGATTACATTTTGTATTAATAATCTGAATCTGTATATGAAAAAAGAAACTCAATATTTAGAAAAGAATCTTACTTTGAAAAATATAATAACTTGAGTGGATTAACTCCAGTGTAAATCTCATGTAGTTTTCCTATCTGAGTTTATCTTTATTAATATTTAGGATGTATCTGAGGTGTTTGATTGGAGGCGAAACCAGGAGGAGGTTAATCATCAGTTCTACGGCTCCCCCTGCTGGTTAAACCAGCTCTGTACATGGGATTTAAATTAATAAATCTGCTGTTACTACAAATCTCAAACCTGCAATCAGCTGAATCAAACATAATACGAGCATCAGGTATGTAAATTGAACGACTTCAAGCAGTTTACTGGAAGATGATTTAGGGTCATATATGTGTCTCTGTGTAACCATGGTTACCATAATGCACCATCCAAACACAACTGCGATTTCATTGTCCTCATTTAAGTGGTGGAAGGATAAAAAAATCAGATATTTTATTTAGGTAAAAGTGCTGATACCACACTAAAAATAATCTTACATGTTAAAAGTCCTAAAAAGTGGCCCTTGGGTGATGTTTATCAGCCCGTTGGTGAATGAAATCACTCTGATTGGCAGTTCAGCTCAGAGCATGAGAAGAGAAACAGGAGTGAGGAAAGTAAACAACTTAAGTCAAGAGGAAGTAAGATCAAAAAGAACTTCTTTTTTAGCCACTGAACTCTTTAGCAGAAGTGATTAATAACTGTCTGTTACTGTTCGCTGGCAGATGGTAAATATTTGTTCTTTCAACATCAGGCTGTGTTGCTAATGTGCTAACTGGCTAACTAGTGTCTAGAATCCGTCCTGTCAGTCTTCTGATTTCCTTTTCCTTTTCTAGACTACGACATCCTGCTGGTATGGAGAGTTATTTCCTCTCACACAGGTGAAGACATACAGTATGTGATAGCTGGGCATCGGCTGTAGTCTTTGTGACGTGTTCATGCGCAACTTTCTGGCCGAGACACAGGCGACAGAAAGCAACGCAACAGTTGACCTCATCGCCACTAGTTCTTTGATTTTGGTTTGATGTTGCTGGGCATAAAAGGGTAAAAGTAGTCATTAGGTAGCATGTCACTGTCATGCAACTGTATCTTATACTAATATTATTATTATTTATTATTATTATCATCTCTATAATATCACTGTTAATGCTGTAGGTTATTGAGGTGGAGCTAATTTTAAATACTTACTTACATACAGTACAGGCCAAAAGTTTGGACACACCTTCTCATTCAATGCGTTTTCTTTATTTTCATGACTATTTACATTGTAGATTCTNTTCAGTTATTTCACCTTTTTTTGTTAAGTACATAACTCCACATGTGTTCATTCATAGTTTTGATGCCTTCAGTGAGAATCTACAATGTAAATAGTCATGAAAATAAAGAAAACGCATTGAATGAGAAGGTGTGTCCAAACTTTTGGCCTGTACTGTACTTTGTATATAAATATACTATTTGGTAGTAAATAGTACAATATTAGTCCCTAAAATGTAGTGGAGTAGAAGTATAAAGTAACATAAAGTGGAAATACCACTTGAGTAAATGTACTTAGTTACTTTCCACCGCCGCTGTATTTCAAAATAAGAGTCTTAAAGAAGGCTGAGATGAGTTTACCTGTAAGGTCAGGGGTCATTTTAGAGGTCTAACTTGAGCACCATGTTATCTCACAGAGTACAGAGATGACCTTTGGGGGCAGTGAGAAGAGGTGAGGGGGCGGGGCAAGGTGTTCGGGGGCGGGGCAGAGTGTACAGGTGAGGAGCCAGGGGGGTCAGCAGCTGTCTGATGGAGCTCTGCTGCCTACCTGCTCCTCCTCTTCACAGCCTCCTCCTCTCCCTCTCCTGGTACTGTAACAGACAGAGAACACAGCAGAGAGCAGACGTCAGTGAACAGCCTCAGCGTTAAGTTTTAATTCATCTGTGAGGCAGGTCAGTAAAGTTTAATGGAAACACAAATTAAAAAGAACAGGTTGACTAACTGATTGTTTTAGTGTTTATGAGCTGCCTCCACACACTGGGAGACATTTTATTCTGTGTCGTGTTTTCGGAGAGGAGCTTTTAACAAGTTTAAAAGATGTTCTACGTTACTGGGATTTTTTCTGTCTCAAGTTATCAAGTTATTTCTTTACTGGCATCAAGGATTTAAGACATAAAATAATGCAGAAGTTAAACTAAAGGGATAAAGTATAATATATAAATAGGAATTTATTGACACATATTT